CAATATCTAATTGACTTGTAAGTTTACCTTGCTGTCTTCACCATCAAAGTACATCTGTATTACTGTCAGCTAGACCCTCAATATCTAATTGACTTGTAAGTTTACCTTGCTGTCTTCACCATCAAAGTACATCTATATTACTGTCTGATAGACCCACAATAATTAATTGATTTGTTAGTTTACGTAGTCTGTGATGCTACTAGCCAATCTCACCCTTTGAATTGTCTTACCAGGATATTGAGAAGGCGGGCAGCAGTACACTGGACAGGACAGTGGATGGGGTTGTTAGCAGGATAAGAGGTACAGTTGACACAGGATGACTAATTTAGTCTGAAATAAATCCATATAAACCAAACCTACCTCATAAATGTATAGAGTATGTAAATTGATTATCATAGTACCATTTGAATGATAAGAGCAGTGTTTGATTAGAGTATTTTATTGTTTTACCAGTTGACATGATTTCGTGAAATTCTATAAAATCAATCAAATCAACATTTCAGTTAGGTACAAATTCAGAATGCTTTTATGAAGGCATAGCAGAGCGAATTATTACACGTGAATGGTTTTTTTTCTAATCTAAATTTGTCTTATCTTTCTACTGTAAGAGTAAGGTTGGAAGTCTGGCAATCACATCGTGACATATTAAAATTTTGACAGAAATTCACAAATGTTTTTAAAAATGACATGTATGTCAGATGGAAATAGTATCCACAAAAACCATGACCTTACCTCCACAACAACAATTTTCCACCAATCAGAAAGAAAGTATTGAGAACCATGAGTTTCATCGCTAATTGGTGTTCTGAGTGTAATTATAAAGCAGCACTGGATTTTCTACAATTGTAAGCAACTGGGTTTAATACCATCAAAGTTATGATAAGTGTTATTTATTCAGGCCTATTTGTTTCACTTATATATATCTACAGCTGGGTCGCAGGTTTAGGGCCTACACGATGGAGGTAGTCACCAGGCACAGGCTGCATGTCAGGTGTTTTTTCTCCGGCTACTCCGGCTTCCTCCACCACTAAAACCTAGCACATCCTTAAATGACCATAGCTGTTAATAGGACGTAAAACACAAATAAATTAACTATATATCAGTTAGTATATCTTTTTAAGACTTTAACAAACCCAAATTATTTGACATGGTAAGGGAGACAACTAGATAAAGTGTAAACAAATGGTTTTGTGCTCTGTAATTCAATAATCTAAAGTATTTCTCAGTGAAAATTATGTACGGTATGTAAGCTACGTTTATGGTGCTCCATGATACTGTATATATATTTATACAATTGTACAGAAAAATATGTTTTTATTACACTTGAACCTCTTTGTTTCACATTGCCTATCCAAAGACTGCATAATTTTATTAAAATGAAAGTGAAAAAACATATTTCTATTGTCAGTTATTGTTTTAAACTGTAATGAGTTGATGATTTCTGAAATGGTTGTTCTTTTAAATAGGTGCAACTGCATCAACAATTGATGAAGTGAAAAGGACAATTAATGCGGACACATTACTGACTGATGCTGAACGTCTAGGAAGAGGTAACACAGTAGTTAAGTCACACAGAGGTCACAGAGGCATGGTAGTCTAGTGGTAGGACGCCAGGCTCATGACCGAGGGGTTGCAGGTTCGAGTCACAGCACGGGACTGTGTTGTATCTTTGAGCAAGATACTTGACTCCCCTTGTTCTAGTGTACTCAGCTGTAAATGAGTATGTGGTTGGGCAGTGCTAGAATTGTAGAATGCTAGCTGTGAGCGCCAAAATGGCAGCACCAGCTTTATGCTCCACAGGGAGTTGAGAAAGATATTGGCTGGTTGCAAAGGCCCTATAACCACGGATAATAATTTGTGAACCACTTTGAGACAACCTATGAACTAGGTTGTGATAAAACGGTATATAAGAACCTCAAATTCTTATTCTTATTATTATATTTTCAATAGCCTGAGCATCAACTTGTCAATGACATATCTCATTAACTCTACAATTCCCAAATGTCCTTTTTGAGTACCTCTTGCGATGACAGAGTCTCATATACTGAAGTTGGTTATTGTGTCCCACTGTATATGGCGTTATGTCCCTTGCTTTACTGTGTCTCACAGTAAATGAAAGAGAAAAGAATCAATTATCCTGAATTTAGGTTTCCATATCTAATACAGTCATGGATACCAGGATTTTATAGTTCCTTCTCTTCTCATTCATGTACTATATACATAAGTGTGCTTCTGTTTACCACTAGGTATCCTTCTGAAACCTCAAAGAAAAATGTACATGTTCTTTTAGTCTTACTAGACATTTATTCTTTACACCTGATTCATATGTGTCACTTTGTCCAGTGTCGTATTTTGTATATTATGTTTCATACACTTACCAAAAGGGGTAGTACTCTGTCTTGTTTTACCTGCACTAAAGAACTGCCAACTTCAATACCAAATAATTTTGATAATAGGTTTTTGAAATAAGCCTAGGATTTATTGTAGTCAAACATTCCTTGAAATAAGCTGTCTTTGAAAATAGACTGGCCTTGTAAATATGCATTGGATTCAAGGTATGAGCCACATTTTCCTTGTCGGCCTCAAACAGGTTTCACAGGTTACAATCACATTATTCACTGTTGCAAAAAAAAATAAAAAATAAATGTTTTATTAAAAGCCTTTATAACGCTATGTTTCTATACTTAAAAGGGAGGACATGCAAGTAAGCAATTGATGGCTTAAATCTGGATGACTTCAAAAATAAGCTTGCTTCAAAAGTTAACCTGGAAATCCTTACTGAAATGAAATAAAGTCGTGGGTTATTATCAAGAATTTAGGGTATATGTTTAACTATGATTAGTGAGTGTATACTGTGCCCACTAAACTTTCAACAGGCCTTCATCTGAATTTGCCCGACATGTAATTTCTACATGTGGTATGGTATGTACTTATTTTCATTACGATGATAAATTTGCCCGCATCACTAAAGGTTAAAAAAGGCGAAAGTTTAACTGGTATTTAATGTTACATCAGCACTTTTGAATTGGGGACCAAGCTCAAGTTAAGGGAAACATTTTGGTGTGTAAGGTTAGAGATATGATTGATATGATAAATTCGTTAAAGAGGTAGATCCTATGGACTTTTCTCCGATTCTATTTTGGTTAACTGCTAGGATCACAGTAATGAGGTTTAAACTGACACTTGTTTTTCTACGGTTGAATTAACATGTCTTTACTAGTGGTAGAATGACTGTTTAAAGTTCGTTTTCTGACCGTATTCCAGATGCCTCAGCTGTTTTAGCGGATTTGAATAACGTTTCTGCTACACTGGTGGTTATAAATGACCTTAACCAGCAGATAGCTACTACATTGAACAGTGTTAAGACCAGTATCAATAAAACCTGCGATGACAACTCCATCCCATCTAGTTTGTGCCCAAGTATTGATGTAGGTACTGGAACAGACTTCACTGCAGTAAGTAGAACACTAACTTACAATATTATTCCTTTTCTAATTAATTTACAATCATTATTAGCTTTTATCACATCATCATCATGTTATCTTGTTATTCAGTAAAAGTATGTACACAAAGTTGCCAACCAGTCTTAAAAACAAAATACCCTATTATAAGCATGAAGAGGCTATATCACAGGTCATGTGCATGTCAAATGACATTTTTGTAGAATTATTTGAGACTTTTTTCATACAAACATCAAAAGTTAACACAAATAAAACTTCACATTCATGTATATCTTCAGAATGCCAATTATAGTAGCCCCAGTAAGCAATTACTTACAACTAGACTTGTCAACTTTCTCAAAACTAAAGATGAAACATCAAATATAAATACATATAAACTGAAAACTACTCATCATAGAGTCAGGAAAAGTCACTGTACAATGCTCGTAAAGGCAGTCAACTGTTGTGGCTTTGCTAGGCCTTGTTTGATATCCAAGTGCTTTCTATGGGTAACTCTTGAGATGTTCCAAGCAGAGTTTGAAATCAGTGTCATATCCAGTCTTGAAAACCTGACAGGTCACATTGGGTTAGTTGAAGTAAACAATGTAGCTAAATTTTATGACATAGTAGGTGTGTGGTAGATATATGGAGCCAAGATTGAAGGATTTTAGACTTTTAGGAAAGAAATCCCATGTAAGATCCTTAAATACTTATCTGGCCATGTGTGTGATGGTGACTGAGCTTATATATAAACCCGTTCATTAATAAAGAAAAGCAGATGAATCATGATCTTCTAATGTCTTACGTACATATATTATTCAGATAAAGTGTTTGTTTTATTGTATTTTCACGACCAGCATCAATGTATTGGCAATAGTTTTAAACTTTTCTTTGTTTTGTGTAGGTTCAAGATTTAGCCAGTGAAGCAAGCAATATGCAAGGAGCGCAAGGAATTATCAATGAGACCCAAACGGTAAAATATTTACAAATCATTATGCAAATGTTGGCATAGTTTGAGAAAAAAACATATTGTTTGTCTTAACTGATTAGTAGACTGTATTATATAGTACATATGTATCTGTATATTTTTGTTGTGTAATTGTTTGATTGATTACTCTTTAGTTCCTTACCTAATTGCTACATAGCTGTACACATGGTGACTGGTATATGTTATAACACTAAATATCTGTGTACATGTGTACTGTTATAGAATCTTGATTCTGTTTTCTCATTCATTTTTAGGCCAGAGCAGAATTTGACGAACTTCAGAAAAATTTGACTGGAGACATAAACAATCAAATCGACAGTAAGTAGATTTACTTGTATGGTATGTTCTGACAGACAGTAAGTAGATTTACTTGTATGGTATGTTCTGATAGACAGTAAGTAGATTTACTTGTATGGTATGTTCTGATAGACAGTAAGTAGATTAACTTGTATGGTATGTTCTGACAGACAGTAAGTAGATTTACTTGTATGGTATGTTCTGATGATGTTTTAAAAAATATAGTGGATTTGTTTTGACATATCATAGTTGTACAAAAATCTGAATCGCTGAAATCTCACTACATGTAAATAATGTTAAAGTTTATACATTTGTATACCTGTCCTAGTTCAGTGACAAATCTCGCAAGAAGTTGAAAATGTCCTAGCTAATAAGAAGCCCAGCTGTCATTAAGATCTGGTCACATCATTGATACGACTTATGTCCATCACTGCCATCATTTTGATTCTAAATACAGCTATGTAACACTGTATAAAGTGAATACATATCTGGGTGGGATTTTACCCTAATCAAAAACAAAAACATGGAGGTAGGTTTACATACTTTGTCTATAAAAGTCTAGAGAGTATGATAAATACTAAATTGGTTCAATTTGTATCAGCTCACCTAGCACATATTGCAAGTAAGACTTACGGTATGGAGCAAGGTCTGCTTGTCAGTTCACTTTCTACTTTGAAAAGTGATTTGAAAAATACACGTGAATGCATAGATACTGACATCAACATTCAGTAGAGTAGAAAATTAGACCTACAACATTATTAGTCACAGATAGAGAAATGTGTTTAGAGGACTATCTAAATCTGTAATAATGAGATATAAGTGAAATGAGGTAGAGGTTTTCCTATTGTGAAAAAAAAGTTGTAATTTTGACCCAACATTAGATAATTAAATTTACGAAGATTACAATTTACTGAATTTAGTGATCTAGACATGTGACGGAACTAAATGGTCACGTTTTTTAGCACAGCGCAATAACAAGTAAGTGTATTTTGTTAAACAAATCCTCAACAAAATTATGAGATTTGTGATACAATCAATTTACAAAACTCTTTCATTACTCTTGACGTATAAGAGTTGTTACAACCACAGCCTCTCTTTTCATGACAACATGACAGTTATGAAGCTCATTTTTACGCATGTCATATCATTCTGCGGATCATATTTTTGCAATCACGTTATTGACTAAATCGTGTAAATATCCTGCTATATGGTATACATTGTTCATAGAAATGTTTTGACATATCAAACAATTAAATTTAATCAATACATTCAGTATTAAATGTACATTAAAACCTCATTGGAATCATTGTTCCTTCAATAAAAAATTAATACATTTAAATTTTCAGATGCTGTTAATCAGTCTAAGGAAATAACCCAGCAGGTTTCTGGCCAGCTGAATAAGGTCAATGAAACTGTACAACCGTTTGTAAGTACAAGTTAACAGTCTTATCCTCCAATATTCTCAAGATCTGAGATAATGTATAAAAAATATTCAACTTATTGGTTACAGCTCATTATCATTTTATAATTGTAGTGTGCAAAATGGACCTGTCTGATAAAAAAATTCCCATACAATGTTTCAGCATACAACATTTACATAGAATTGTAGTTGTCAAGGGAAGCAAATTGTGTGTTATTGGCACTTTTTATTGCAGTTGTAGATCCTGTAATTTCTTAAGGAACATTCAGCAGCATTTCAAAAGTTATTCCTCATTTTACATTTTATTTAGCTTGATCAGTCATAGATTATAGGCATGTAATGTTGATGAGCTGTTCTAATTGTAGGTTGACTCCATAAACAGCAATGTAGAACCACAGCTGAAGGACCTTGATGAATATCTGAAGAAATATGGTGATTACTGGTGAGCAATCTACATTGAATTATGACTAAATATCATCATACGGTCATAAACACCATTTTATTTTACCAAAATGATACATGCTCCTGTAGAAGCTATGGTGCAATTTGTATGTGGCATATCCAGTTTGTTTCCACATTACAGACCTTCAAAAGCTATGCTCTACATCCCTGAGATTTTGCAGACCTGAAATCATACACCCTTCACCTTCTACAGTCATAACCTGCTACATCCCTGACCTTCTACAGTCATAACCTGCTACATTCCTCACCTTTTACAGTCATAACCTGCTACATCCCTCACCTTCTACAGTCATAACCTGCTACATCCCCGACCTTCTACAGTCATAACCTGCTACATCCCTGACCTTCTACAGTCATAACCTGCTACATCCCTCACCTTCTACAGTCATAACCTGCTACATCCCTCACCTTCTACAGTCATAACCTGCTACATCCCTGACCTTCTGCAGACTTCAGTTATAATCCTGACCTCCTGTCTGTATAACCTTAATCTCCTACAGATCACACCTGAAACAGACCTATCCTTCCACAATCTACCCTTTACCTGCGGATGGTAATCATCTGTAGCTGTGTGTTAAGATGTTGACAGACTGTTTTCTATGTACTTTCAGGTGGTATGCGTGCATAGCCATTCCGTGTGTGGTGATCTTGGCAGTCGTCTTCTACTACATGGGTATCATGTTTGGCACATTTGGGGATCGTCCAGGTGATGGAGCACAGTGCTGTAACAAAGGAGCTGCCAGTAACTTACTTGTATGGTATGTAGTGTCTGTGTCCTGTGAAACTTTCATCCCCATGAAATAACTATCTGGATGAATACCTGGTATATTGAGCATAAATACCTAAATAGATAAATTTTCATAGGTGTAAGTAGGTAGATGGAAAGACAATGGTGATACCTTGTATGTTGGATACATAGAAGGTGGATTGGAATGGAAGTAGCACAACCTACTTGTATGGTATTAGATAGAAGATGGAGGGAAATAAAGGTTGCAGTGACCTACTTGTATGGTACATGTATATTGATAGAAGGTGGAGAGGAATAGAGGTTACTGTGGCCTACTTTTTATGGTTGATAGAAGATGGATGGGAATGGAGGTAGCAATGACTTACTTGTATGGTATATAGATAGACTGTGGAGGGGAATGGAGGTTGCAGTGACCTACTTGTATGGTATATAGATTGAAGATGGAGGGGAGTGGAGGTTAAGCAACGACCAACATGTATGGTATGTAGATAAAAGTTGAAGGGGAATGGAGGTCGCAGACAGAGGGTATTACAAAAGTAAAATTGCTGACTGGTATGATATGAATACCTAGTTAAGAGTTGCGATAATGAGCTGAGTTTTCTTTATAACAGTAAATTTGTAAATTAGGATGATATATTATTGAATATAACATACCTCTATGTTGACCATATAAGGCACCAAATTATAAATCTTTCAGGCTTATGGCTGATGGACATATCTTTTATTGTCAAATATTAACTTTTATTTTTTTTATAGCTAAGCATTATGACTGCTTAAATTTCTCGCTTTATTGTAGCTTGATTAAATGTGAAAGGTAAGCAGTAACCATCCTGTTTAATATGTGTGGTAAACATTTTCCTCAAGCCAATTTCTTAATGTAGTTATTTGATATTTCAGTGGTGTTGTATGGTCCTTCCTGTTTGCCTCCATCCTGATGTTTGTCGTACTGATACTGTTTCTGGTGGGAGGGAGTATGTACGGCATCATGTGTCGTGAAATCAACATGGGCGTGGAAAATATCCAGGTAATGTCAGTTATCAAGGTCATGTTTTATAAAGTATACTCAATATTGTGAGGACTTTGTGTATCTTTTAGATATGGAACCTGTACCTTTACGAAAGTAAGGAATTGTTTAACTCTCAGAAACGAGAAACATTTAAACCTAACAGTGACTTCAGTGGCAAAAGCAAGAATTCACAATGAGGACTAGATTGGTCAAATTGGAAATGCACTATCTGAGAGAGAGTCCAAAGAAAATAAATATGTACACCAGAGATGCTGAAAATCCACTTAGCTCACCACTGAATAATTGTTGCAAAGAATTATTATGGGTAAATCCCTTTTACAAATTGAACAATCTCAGTATCATGAAAAGACAGTAAAGAGAACATGATTTGTATAACTATTAAAAGCAGCACTATTTGGAAAATACTTGAATGTCGTTTAAGCTAGAATTTAAAAAAAATCATTCCCTTCCCTTATATTATTGATCTTTTCAAGCCATACAGTAGCTGGTGACTGTCCTAACATTAGCTTACGTATGTGTGGACTTGTTATATGTTCTTAGCTTAATATGAACTTAAAACTCTAAACTTTGGAGAACATTCCCTTAGATTAGAGTTCAAATCCTTGACCTTGTTGACCTTGTTGACCTTGTTGACCTGTTGACCTATTGTACTAATGTGTTTGTGTGATATAGCTTTATGAACCATTGGTGGATGAGATACTTAATGTTCGGATCAGCAAGCTGCTGTATGGAGACAATGCCCCAGCTAACCTCACTCTTGGAAGCATCCTCAGGTAAGTTCACAGGTGTAACAATCTACTGTAGCATCAGTGAATTGTATTGTTCTGCAAAATTTGTCATTGAAATACTATATAATAAGGCAGGATTTCAGGAAATAAGGGGTTTTAATTCTGAGAAATTTTGTGACTGTTTTACACAATGTTTCATTGATTCTGTAAGTACTTTAAAACTGTTTAAAAGCGATATATCCACATTGATGATCCACCAATAAATGTTACAGATACTCTGGTAAGAAACATACAGATCCTGATAAATATATCATTGTTAACCCTTTCACCACTGTAGACCATAATGGACTCATCCAAATCAATGCATGGAAGAGTTTATTGAAGTTACATAGAGGTGACAGGGTTAACCTGGGATTACACAGCATTAGCTCTCGGAAACCTGGATGTTTTGTGTCCAAATCCTTCACAAGAACAGTAGTCTTGTTGCGTTTTTGCACTCAACTTGTGTCAGAAACAGATATAGATTGATCAAACAGTGACTTTTATGAAAAGTGAAAAATTCTTATTTAATAGTTGTGAAATAAACCACATTTAAATCTTAAACATTGATTTTGTCTAGAACGATATATTATTTATTTCTAATAGTTATGAAATAACACACATTTAAATCTTAAACATTGATTTTGTCTAGAACGATATATTATTTATTTCTAATAGTTATGAAATAACATGCATTTAAATCTTATGGAAAAGATGTTAACAAAAGTGAAATTTATTGAATTGTAACAAAAACAAAGAGCACAGTTTGAAATAAAACAAATTTTCATATGTTGATTTAATTGTTTTATTTCAGTGACTGTAAGGAGGATAAGGCACTATACACAGCTGTCAGACTGAAGCACTTGTTTGATTTGGACAGCTTACTCAACCCCACAGTAAGTCTGAACACAATAAGGCACTGTACACGGCTGTCAGACTGAAGCACTTGTGTAAGGAGGATAAGGCACTATACACAGCTGTCAGACTGAGCACTTGTTTGATTTGGACAGCTTACTCAACCCCACAGTAAGTCTGAACACAATAAGGCACTGTACACAGCTGTCAGACTGAAGAACTTGTTTGATTTTGACAACTTACTCAACACGTCAGTAAGTCTGAACACAATAAGGCACTATACACAGCTGTCAGACTGAAGCACTTGTGTGATTTAGACAGCTTACTCAACACCACGGTAAGTCTGAACACAAATACTCAACACCACAGTAAGTCTGAACACAATAAGGCACTATACACAGCTGTCAGACTGAAGCACTTGTTTGATTTGGACAGCTTACTCAACACCACATTTAGTCTGAACACAATAAGGCACTGTACACAGCTGTCAGACTGAAGCACTTGTGTGATTTAGACGCCTACTCAACACCACAGTAAGTCTGAACACAATAAGGCACTGTACCCAGCTGTCAGACTGAAGCACTTGTTTGATTTAGACAGCTTACTCAACACCACAGTAAGTCTGAACACAATAAGGCCCTATACACAGCTGTCAGACTGAAGCACTTGTTTGATTTAGACAGCCTACTCAACACCACAGTAAGTCTGAACATAAAAAGGCACTGTACACTGCTGTCAGACTAAAGCACTTTTTTGATTTAGACAGCCTACTCAACACCACAGTAAGTCTGAACACAATAAGGCACTGTACACGGCTGTCAGACTGAAGCACTTGTTTGATTTGGACAGCCTACTCATCACCACAGTAAGTCTGAACACAATAAGGCACTGTACACGGCTGTCAGACTGAAGCACTTGTTTGATTTGGACAGCCTACTCAACACCACAGTAAATCTGAAAACAATAAGGCACTGTACACAGCTGTCAGACTGCAGCACTTGTTTGATTTGGACAGCTTACTCAACACCACAGTAAGTCTGAACATAATAAGGCACTGTACACAGCTGTCAGACTGAAGCCCTTGTTTGATTTGGACAGCCTACTCAACACCACAGTAAATCTGAACACAAATACTCAACACCACAGTAAGTCTGAGCACAATAAGGCACTGTACACAGCTGTCAGACTAAAGCACTTGTTTGATTTGGAGAGCCTACTCAACACCACAGTAAGTCTGACCACAATAAGGCACTGTACACAGCTGTCAGACTAAAGCACTTGTTTGATTTGGACAGCCTACTCAACACCACAGTAAATCTGAAAACAATAAGGCACTGTACACAGCTGTCAGACTGCAGCACTTGTTTGATTTGGACAGCTTACTCAACACAACAGTAAGTCTGAACACAATAAGGCACTGTACCCAGCTGTCAGACTGAAGCACTTGTTTGATTTGGACAGCTTACTCAACACAACAGTAAGTCTGAACACAATAAGGCACTGTACACAACTGTCAGACTGAAGCACTTGTTTGATTTGGACAGCCTACTCAACACCACAGTAAATCTGAAAACAATAAGGCACTGTACACAGCTGTCAGACTGCAGCACTTGTTTGATTTGGACAGCTTACTCAACACAACAGTAAGTCTGAACACAATAAGGCACTGTACACAACTGTCAGACTGAAGCACTTGTTTGATTTGGACAGCTTACTCAACACAACAGTAAGTCTGAACACAATAAGGCACTGTACACGGCTGTCAGACTGAAGCACTTGTTTGATTTGGACAGCCTACTCAACACCACAGTAAATCTGAAAACAATAAGGCACTGTACACAGCTGTCAGACTAAAGCACTTGTTTGATTTGGACAGCCTACTCATCACCACAGTAAGTCTGAACACAATAAGGCACTGTTCACAGCTGTCAGACTGAAGCACTTGTTTGATCTGGACAGCCTACCCAACACCACAGTAAGTCTGAACACAATAAGGCACTGTACCCAGCTGTCAGACTGAAGCACTTGTTTGATTTGGACAGCCCCCTCAACACCACAGTAAGTCTATACACAATAAGGCACTGTACACAGCTGTCAGACTAAAGCACTTGTTTGATTTGGACAGCCTACTCAACACCACAGTAAATCTGAAAACAATAAGGCACTGTACACAGCTGTCAGACTGAAGCCCTTGTTTGATTTGGACAGCCTACTCAACACCACAGTAAATCTGAAAACAATAAGGCACTGTACACAGCTGTCAGACTGCAGCACTTGTTTGATTTGGACAGCTTACTCAACACCACAGTAAGTCTGAGCACAATAAGGCACTGTACACAGCTGTCAGACTGCAGCACTTGTTTGATTTGGACAGCTTACTCAACACAACAGTAAGTCTGAACACAATAAGGCACTGTACCCAGCTGTCAGACTGAAGCACTTGTTTGATTTGGACAGCTTACTCAACACAACAGTAAGTCTGAACACAATAAGGCACTGTACACGGCTGTCAGACTGAAGCACTTGTTTGATTTGGACAGCCTACCCAACACCACAGTAAGTCTGATCACAAATACCCAACACCACAGTAAGTCTGAACACAATAAGGCACTGTACACAGCTGTCAGACTGAAGCACTTGTTTGATTTGGAAAACTTACCCAACACCACAGGAAGTCTGAACACAATAAGGCACTGTACACAGCTGTCAGACTGAAGCACTTGTTTGATTTGGACAACTTAACCCCAGTTAGTCCATAAAATCAAGTTTGACTCAATGACACAGTTAGTCCATAAACTCAAGTTTGACTCTACGACACAGTTAGTCCGCAAACACAAGTTTGACTCTGATTCCATATTCAATACGACAGTGTATACATTTAAATGTTGCAAGTATGACTCAGATTCTAAACTCAACATCACAGAGAATAAATAAATACATGTGGACTCAGATGCTATGCTCACCATGACAGTGAGTAAAAAAACACAAGTTTGAGACTGATGCCTTCATCAACACTAAAGTAATAACATCAATAAAATATTGTCATAGAAGACAGATTTCTACTAGGAAGTGATTTAAGGATCCCTGTCCCACTGCACTGCCATTCTCTTTAATATACAGTAACCTCCGTAAAACTAGGTTTTGGATATAACTGTAGTACATTTGGGCCAGGACCCTTCTCTTGACCAGAAATGATTTATCAAAATGCCTAGTTACAGTTTTTGGCAGTCATATTTGGATCTTAAATTAAAGCCAAATTCAGTATTATGAGTTATCCTGAATAGTATTCTTGAAACTTAACTTGGATTTGTTTTGCAGGAAGTCACTGGGAGGATTAACAGTGTGATAGATACTGCACTACCAAACATTGGCAGTATAACTATAATCCCATCAGGATTAAAAACTCAACTCGATAATTTCTCTAGCTCAGGGGTGGATGCAATCAATTTCACACAGTACACAGACCAGGTGAGTTGTTATGTCAGTGGTTACCATCAGAACTTATATGTTCAAAACCTGTTTGTTCAAAATTTAATTTAGTAATTAGTAATATAAAACTGAACTAATGACAATAGTTTTTGGTTAATTCTCAAATATTTCTCAAATACTACATTTTGAAAAATCGCATTACTGTCAATGTCCGACATTTATTGTTGCAATACATCATCAGATTTCCAGCAAATTTCGTACCAAGGTCGAGTATGAGAATACCTCTGTCGAGTTGTATTTCAGGGTCCACATGTCACTACATGAATTGCTATTTATAGGTCAACCACAGAGGCAATGATCCTTTAATGTCTTACAACTGATGTTTCTAGTTTCATATATATATTTGGACTGGTGTTGGGCCATATCAGCACCATTCGGTATAAAATTTAGGCTACAAACGCAAAACCTTCTAGACTTTTTGTCATTTTAAGGGTTCTTTCACAGTTTCTTCAGGAAAAATATAATAGATGATGCTATTATATATAAGCTAAAACATTTATGCTTAAAACCTTATTTACAATAAAAGTGATGATAATAATATTTATTCCCGTAAAAGTCAGACATTATACATATATCACATTTTGCATTTGGACAAAAGTCCCCAGAGCTTGTAGTCAGTCAGGGTGTTAAAAGCCAGATTGGATTCAATTAATTTAGGCCTTTATCTAGGATGACCCATAAAGCCACATTGTAACTTAGTTCCAATGGGGTCCCTTAGATTTAAATAAATCAATTCATAAAATAGTTACATAATTATAGAATAGGTATGGATGATAAGACTTTAAAGACACCATCATTTGTAAAAAAGATATAAAAGGTTACAATACATCTACAGACTATACATTCTTTTTAATTTGTTTATAAAGATGTTTTTTTACTGTAGTATGTAATTTTGATGACCTACATTATTTTCCAGTTGAACATGGACATCACTACATCACCATTGGAAGATGCAGTTACTCGTCTTAACACTTCAGCTGACAGTTTAGCAGCAGATCCAAGTGTATGTATATTATACCTGCTAGTGGTACATCAGTTTGTAGTTCATCTGTATATAAACCCTGAAAGGTTAGGTATCAATTATTGATAACTTGTTATGAACATTTATTACTGCAGTCAAGAGTTATGTAAATCACTAGATTTCATCCTGCACTTAATCTGTTTGCTGTCAATTATTTGAGACAAAATGATACAGTTAGAAGATGTATAGTTTGAATGAGTTTAAAGCAGAGTGAACATATTGAAGTGCTCTGCCACATTAGTGAAGGACAGGGCCACATTAGTGAAGGACAGTGCCACATTAGTGAAGGACAGTGCCACATTAGTGGAGGACAGGGCCACATTAGTGAAGGACAGGGCCACATTAGTGAAGGACTGGGCCACATTAGTGAAGGACAGTGCCACATTAGTGAAGGACAGTGCCACATATCTAGTGAAGGACAGTGTCACATTAGTGAAGGACAGTGCCACATATCTAGTGAAGGACAGTGCCACATTAGTGAAGGACAGTGCCACATTAGTGAAAGACAGTGCCACATTAGTGGAGGACAGGGCCACATAAGTGAAAGAAAGTGCCACATTAGTTAAGGACAGTGCCACATTAGTGAAGGACAGTGCCACATATCTAGTGAACGACAGTGCCACATCAGTGAAGGACAGTGCCACATTAATGAAGGACAGTCAGACCTGTATTAGAGACTACTCATGGAAACTTCTAAAAGTGGTCTCTTTAACACAAGTTGTATCATAATACGTACAGGTTCAATTCATAATGAAATCACTACTACGGGAAAAATTAAAAATTGTCTCCTGACACAGGTGGTCTCTGAATGGAGATGTGACATTAGAAAGTTTGACTATACATATATGGTAGTGAAGGGGAAACTTATACAGTGTCACCTGTGACATTGAAACCATCATTTCATGTAGGGAAAAATTGATATTTTACAATACAATGTATGTGGCAAGTGCGGTACCATGACCATGTGCTATTTCCTGTCCTCATTGTCAGCACTAATATTGGCTGCCATTACAAACATGTCTAGCACTTGTTATTATATATGATTTGTTACCTACATACTGTTATCAGTATATATATGATTTGTTACCTACATACTGTTATCAGTATATATATGATTTGTTACCTACATACTGTTATCAGTATATATATATGATTTGCTACCTACATACTGTTATCAGTATATAAATGATTTGCTACCTACATACTGTTATCAGTATATATGTGATTTGTTACCTACATACTGTTATCAGTATATATATGATTTGTTACCTACATACTGATAGCAGTGATAGCAGTATATATATGATTTGTTACCTGTAAACTGATAACTATATATATGATTTGTTACATACATACTCATAGCAGTAAATATATGATTTGTTACCTGAATACTGATAGCAGTATATATATAATTATATGATTAGTTACCTACACACTGATAGCAGTATATAGATATGATTTGTAACCTATATAGTGATAGCATTACATTTATATATATGATTTGTAACCTATATAGTGATAGCAGTATATATATGATTTGTTACCTTCATACTGATAGCAGTATATATATGATTTATTACCTACACACTGATAGCAGTATATATATGTTTTATTACCTACACACTGATAGCAGTGATAGCAGTATATAGTTTGTTACCTTCATACTGATTGCAGTTATGTGGGTATGTGTGATTCGTTATTAGTCCCCCACCATTTCCAGGGGGAGCTATAGGTTTGCACTCTGTCCTTCTGTTCGTCTGAGAAGATTGTCCGGGGCCTACCTTCTATACTATTTCACCTGGAGTGTCCTGAAAAAGTTTGTCGGGGGCATATCCTCTATACTATATCACCTGGAGTATCCAGATTTAGTATACAATGACGTCTTTGGATGATGGAGTGCAGAATGCAAGAATTAGGTCACTGTGACCTATGACCTGACCTTTGACCTTTATTTATTTTAAATGTTTGTCTGGAACATACTTCTGTACTATTTCACCTGGAGTAACCAGATTTAATGTACAAGGACTTCTAAGGATGGTGGAGTGAAGAGTGCAAGAATTAGGTCACTGTGACCTTTGACTTGACCTTTGACTTTTACTTTTGAAAATGTATGTCTAGGGCATATCTTCTATACTGTATCACCTTAAATATCCAGACTTGGTGTACAAGGACATCTTGGGATGGCAGAGTGCAAGAATTGGGTAACTGTGAAGGATGACTTGACCTTTGACCTTTAATTTTCAAAAAGTTTGTCCGTTGCAAATCTTCTAGACTATATAACCTGGAGTATCCAGCTTTGGTGTACTAGGACATATTGGGATGGCGGAGTGCAGTGTGTAAGAATTAGGTCACTGTGAAGTATGACTTGACCTTTGACCTTTAATATTCAAAAAGTTTGTCCGGGACATATCTTCTCTACTATTTCACTTGGAGTAACCAAATTTAGTGTACAAGGACATCTGGGGATGGCAGAGTGCAAGAAGTAGGTCACTATGACCTCACTGTGACCTACGCTTACTGACATGACTTACTGTTTGTTAAATATAAAACACAGCACCGGAGGGGGACTATGGATTGACTTGCAATACTTTGCCTTGTTTTAATACAGATAGAAAAAGAATATGATTTGTCTTAACCAATTATTGCATAATCTCTATTTTATGCCTAACAAACAAACATGTGTAATTTAGAAAGAAATCCTTTCCAAATGGAAATACTGATATTTTTGTTATAGACATTACATATGTAGTATGTGTTGATTGTATTTCCAGAAAACCACTGCAGCAGAAAGCCTGAGGAACCAGTCCGCCATTTTGCAGGCTTTGAAGGATGAGGAAGTTGCAAATATTAGCAAACAGTTTGTAAGTATCAATTAAAACATGTTTAAGTGAAAAATATGGCAAAACAGTTTTAAGGTCATGCAGCTACTGAACAGGTAGTTTGTGGGACAAGTCCAGGTGTTTGACAGGTTCAGGTGTTTGACAGGTTCAGGTGTTAGACAGGTTCTGGTGTTTGACAGGTTCAGGTGTTAGACAGGTTCAGGTGTTAGACAGGTTCAGGTGTTGGACAGATTCAGGTGTTGGACAGGTTCAGGTGTTAGACAGGTTCAGTTGTTGAACAGGTTCAGGTGTTTAGACAGGTTCAGGTGTTGTATTGATTCAGGTGTTGTATTGATTCAGGTGTTAGACAGGTTCAGGTGTTGTATTGATTCAGGTGTTAGACAGGTTCATTTGTTAGACAGGTTCAGGTGTTAGACAGGTTCAGGTGTTAAACAGGTTCAGGTGTTGGACAGGTTTCAGGTGTTAGACAGGTTCAGGTGTTAGACAGGTTCATGTGTTAGACAGGTTCTGGTGTTGGACAGGTTCAGGTGTTAGACAGGTTCAGGTGTTAGACAGGTTTAGTTGTTGAACAGGTTCAGGTATTGGGGTTGTTAAGGTGTTGGACTGGTTCAGGTGATAGACAGGTTCAGGTGTTGGATTAGTTCAGGTGTAAGACAGGTTCAGGTGTCAGATTCAGGTGTTTGATTGGTTGAGTGTTGGATAGGTTGAGGTATACCTGCCTAAATATTGTTATCTAAAAAGTAATTAAGTAACACACTGCATCTTGTAATAGCATGTGTAGGCTCAGACTTAGATAATTTTGTGGTGTAGTACATGATGTATTTGGTTTAGTCTTCCCTGATGTACTGAATGACAATTTAAATCACTTATGTAATTGAACTATATGCAAGTTTCATCGAGTCACTGCCATGTAAAAACGATGTTCTTACCCAGACAGTTTCACTGAAATTCTGCCGGCTTGGTCACTGGAGACGTTATTGCTGTGGGAGTTACTTCCCCTTGTTCATCACAGTGGTGAACAAGGTGTCGTAAACCTGGCTGAGCCAGTAAGCCCCCTGGTCTCACCATCGTTCTTGCATTTATACCTAATATTCCTGCTAAATGAACCTTTTCAGTGATATATACCATGTGTTTACTATTACAGGTTTCTTTGATTTTCTTATAGATTAAAGCATAGTATAGTCAACATTGAAGACAACATTTGCAAAAAGTTGATTTCTTCACATGTCTAAAAGGAAAATTTAAGCTTTGCAAATTATTTATTTAGGTTACCTGAGTCACTCAGTTGACATATATTGCGAGTGCTTTTTGTTTGTTATGGTGTGATTTTGATGAGACTGATAATTATCAGTAAACATCAGCCTGCAGTGGGGATCAGAATCTATATTCAGTATAGAGCTGACCTGACCAAGGGGGTCGAGGGACATAAACTGTCACAGAGTTCAAAACCTTCAAAAGACTTCTTCTGTGAAACTTACAGTTAGATTTTTACCAAAATATCTTAAAATGATGCTTATATATAATATGTGATTAGGATAAGAATTTAGAATAAAAAAGGGCTTTATCATAATTGTGAACTTCTTTATCCATGGGTAACCCATTTCCTCATTTGGCAGAGGGTAATATTTTTGCTATGGTTTATGTAGAGAAATTATATTTATGTGTAAATTTTGTTGAATTCAGTAGAAAATGATTCAAACTTTTGTTGGAATTTTTATGACTTGATTGAAGTTTAACTATTCCCCTTTTTTTGGTGTAAATTTTGGGTTATAACTGTTTTATATTTTTTATTTTACTGATATTTACCTGATATGTATTAATGTAAGTCACTCCCCAACNAATTGAAAAATAAAATACCAGGTGAGCTATTAAGGCCCCTGGGCTTTTTGTTTTTTAAAAGCCAATCTGCATTCAAAAGAATATACTTGGTTATCTTTATTCTATGTCACATCACAATAGCAAGTAACAATTGTACATCACTTCCTTTCATCATGTTGAAGGACTGATTTTCTGTTTGCAGGATCAACTCAAGGCTGTAGTGACACATTTACAGGGTTACACGGACATACAGGTAATACAACTTGATATTGTATTTACTTTGTCAAACAGGTAAAATGTTATCCCTAAGTCTCTTAGCCTGGTCATACAGATAAACTATTATCCTTAAGTCTCTTAGCCTGGTCATACAGATGAAATGGTATCCTTAAGTCTCTTAGCTTGGTCATACAGGTAAATGTTATCATTAAGTCTTTTAGCCTGGTCATACAGGTAAAATATTACCCGTAAGTCTCTTAGCCTGGTAATACAGATGAAATGGTATCCTGTAGTCTCTAACAAAGGTCATACAGATAAAATGGTATCCTATAGTCTCCTACCCTGGTCATACAGATAAAATGGTATCCTATAGTCTCCTACCCTGGTCA